TGATTTCAAATATTAAATGTATTTGGAAGCTTGGTAGACAGCTTTGGAAAATTCGATGTGCTTGCATGACTGAAATAGCTGCCTGAGAGGTAATTCAAAGATGGCAGCCAAGTGAAATGACTTGCCTTTCAGGGACTTTGCTAACTGGTAGTGCTGTATGTTTTTTGATTCACTAAAAAACAACTGGCTCATAAAAGTCTAAATTTTTATTTTTTGGGGGGAATCAATTTACACTGGACGCACTATATGTTTGTTTTCGTGTGCAGTTGGCAAGGATAACTCAATAGAAAGCAATTTTTTGCCATTATTTTGTGTCAGTCTTTTTATTGCATCACATTCGATGCAGACTGTGAACTCACATTCACAAATATCTGTCTTTTGCCATGGTGCTCTTTTAGTATTGAAATGACTAGAAATCAAGCATATTAGTAAAGGTCAATGCTGTGGAAATGATTGTTCATATTTACAGGAATAGAAACTTTGAGATCTTTGAGAATTCATGAATTTTACATCTGCAGTAGAAAACGATGACCGTGTTATTAAACCAGCCTCACAAAAAGATGTTTGTGAGGGCCACTCTGGTGGGGAATCCCACTTTTTTTGACCATCTCTGCCCTGCTGTCACTTTGAGCTTTCTCAGATGTGTCCACACACATGGAAGAACATCATAAGTTAAACATCTCTTGTTATGCTGTAGGAGATTTTACTAGGCGAGAAGAATTACAGTAAGATAAAATGTAATTCTCAGTCGTCATGCTAAGCCACAGCAGCACCGCCACCCATTAGCCACTAGTTTTTTTCATTCTAATACCATAATGCTTTAGACTTCCTGTTTATTGACCGGAGAAAGACGTAGGGGGTGGCAAAAGGAAAAGAGAGGGAGGGAGTAGTGGAGAAGGAGAGGGGAAAAGAAACCCTTTACTTGGGGGGGTTCCACCTTTCCTGAGATGAGAAGCGGCTACAGAAATGTTCATGTTTTATGCCTGTCTGGATGTTCTTATAAATATGAATCTCTTTTTATACCATTAATGATTCCTGAACTTACTAATAACAATAGTATTAACTGTTGATGAGTGACATGAAGAAAAATGTACAGTAATGATGAAAAACTCAAACTCTTGCCTAGGTTTGCAGTGGTATACCGGCTTCTTGGTTATATCATGGTATTCAAATTGAAAATTGACGGTTGTCACACCACGTGCATTTGCTCATTTACGGTATTGAAAAAAAATAATCCGGATGGAAAATGTCAAGTGCATGTACACAAATCCTTTCCTCCTCAAATGTCTGTCAGACTTGGCAGCTTGCGTCACACATATGTATGAAGCAACGAAAATGCCAGAGAGAACTGAGGCTTATACCACCAATCTCCATCCCTCGCTGAAAAAAGACATTAAAATCAGCAGTGTGGGTTTTATTTTGGATGTCCAAAAAACATTAAAATCTTCATTGTAATGATTTTGATATTGATTTTTAAATCTGAAGATTGATTTTTTTAAAAGCTATTTCCAGTTGATGTATGATCCCATCCAGTAATCGCCATAAGCTTTGTGTTTTGTTAATTTCAATAAGAAACAAAGACTCAGCTTTCAAACTTTGTCAGTTACGAGACGTGAATCCAAATCAAATCTTGAAATACTGTATACCGTTACACTGCAAAGTCTTCCGTTACGGTTATCGAGTTCTTAAAAAATCTCATACTTTTGCAACTCTACACATGCCACATAGCATATTTGTAGATGGAAAGCGACATTTGAATGGAGTGTCAGACAATGTGTTTGACTTTAAGGCTATGTCCACACGAAGCCAGAGCTTTCCCTAACCAATCTTTTTTTTCCCCTCATCTCAAGAAATATCTGCGTCCACATCAGTGGTTCCCAATCCTGGTCCTGGAGAACCCCCAACACTGCACATTTAGGTTACGTCCACACGAAGCCAGAGCATTCCCTATCCGATCTTTTTTTCCCCCTCGTCTCAATAAATATCTGTGTCCACACGAAACCATGAAACCGACGCAAAACGATGTAGTATACATGCCAGACCAGTATGTGGCGCTGTAATTCTGCCACAGAGATACACTAAAAGCAGAGAAGAAGACTTGGACTATGCGCATAAACCTTGCGCGCGGTATACAAACGAACATGGTACAATACATTTATTAATCTGTGTTGATGTTAGTTAATAAAAAGATAATCGTTCAGTGTTTGTTCATGTTTTTGTTGCTGTTACGTGACGTAGCGGTGTCTGACTAGGGGCGAGACGTGGGCTGATGACATCATCGTTTAAAAAAAATATACGGATTCGCTGTCCACAACAGTTTCACTCTCCCAAAACGCCAGATCTGTGTGGACGAAATGCCTATATGATACAAAATTTATGCGTATACAGCTAAACGCGTCTCCGTGTGGATGGGGCCTAAGTGTGTGATCTAGAGGCAGTAGAAATGTGGGCGTCTGGGCGGGAAATCCCAGAGCACTGCTGGGAGTCAGGGAGTTCTGGAATGCTGAAGGGGCAGAGCATGGAGGAAGGAAACGGGCGAAGCTAAAGTGTGTGTACGTGACCATTTGTGTTCATATGCACATGCATATTTACACAAACATTTTCACATTTGACATTTCTGAGTTCTCCTGGCATTTTAAACTATCAATTTTCATTTAGTGTCTAGCGACTTTGGGGAAAAACTCTATTGTTTTACTCTTCACTTTTCACCTTCATTTCCTTGTGCTTTTGTTGTAAATGGAATTGATCTTTTTAGAATAGCTTGATTAGACTTATTAATTTGTCCACAATACGTTCATATTTTTCTATTTTAGCATATTAAATTAAATGTATTTGGATCTTTTATATATATATATATATATATATATATATACAGTGGGTACGG